TTATACATATTATAATATTATAATATTATAATATAATAATAATAATAATAATAATAATAATAATAATAATAATAATAATAATAATAATAATAATAATAATAATAATAATAATAATAATAATAATAATAATAATAATAATAATAATAATAATAATAATAATAATAATAATAATAATTATAACAATAAGAAGCAGAAGAGTATAATTATATTAATTATATTATAATATTAGATAATATAAATAGCAAAAATATAATAATTAATAATTAATAATTAATAATTAATAATTAATAATTAATAATTAATAATTAATAATTAATAATTAATAATTAATAATTAATAATTAATAATTAATAATTTTTAATATAAAACAAACTAAAAATGAACACTTCGTTGTAAAGGTCAAATGCTGTGTAACTACTTCGTTTGTATCAAGATATACAAGACGCCCTACCCCAGACATCTTAATTTCCTCAAAAGTTGTTTTACTTGTATCTACCTTCACAAATGGTTTACAAGAAGTCGCTTCAAACTCATTCCAATGAGTTAAGTTGTATTCTGGATCGGTTATTATAAACAGATTAGTGGAAGTGTCGTTTGTGTATGATGCTTCGGATATGTCCTGAAATTTTTTATTAACATTTTGATTTTCATTTTTTGTATTTTTATCAAACTTTTTTATGTCGACGTTTTTTTGTAAATTTTTTGAGTTTGTTGTTTTTTCATTTTCTTCAAATGTGTGAATAACGTTTTTGACGTCATCTATATTTTGGGTATCAAGCAAAGTTATAACGTTGGAAGTTTCTTGTTCACTTAAATAGTTCACATCTCTTCCATTGACAACTTCAGTCGAAGGTTTTGAAATAAAAGAAAGCGCTGTTGTATCTTCAGTTATATTTGCGATAAAAGTGTATGTGTCAGTACCAGCCTCACTTGTTTCTAGACCAGAAAAAATAACACCAACTATTATGGCAATAACCCAGAAACCAATGAGTAAGTACTTAAAAATATTTCCAACTTCGTCGATTAAAAATCCATCAACTTTGTTGTGTTTTTGTAATGAGTCCATTCTAATTTTTCAAATTAGTATTTATTCAGTTCATTATTTTAAAAAACTTAAAATGAATATGTTTGAAAATTCGATGTTTAAGTATTTTTACCATATGAAAAATTTGTATTACAAAATAAAAAAAGTTAAGTTTTTTAAATTAATACACCCAACAAATATTTGTTTTTAAAGTTTACCAATTTGTGTTATTTAAATTATTTAATTAATAAAATAAATAAAATTAAAATCTATTTAAACGAAGTTTATTTTTCTTGATCAAAGAAAATATTTTTTTGATTAATATAATTAGTTTTAATTGAATTGTAGTATTATAAATAAAATATTTGAAGTATAAATATATTGTGCATTAAGAGGAAATACAGGGATGTTTGTAAAAGTAGGATGCTCGCAACTATTGGTTATTTTTGATACAAATAATAATAATAATAATACAGTAGGGAAAATGAACTTTATACCAAAGAAATTCCTATATTTCTTTAAAAACACGGGTTTTTAGTTAAAAAACAATTTATTGAGAAAATTGACTATTATATATGTCTGGTTTATTAGTTTAATATAACAATAGAAAATAATTAGTTTTTTTTGGGGTAAGGTTCGTTTGCTGGGCGAAGGTTTAATAACCCAAATGTAATAATTCAAATATTTAATATAATGTAAAACACCAAAATAAATTTATTATTAGATAAGATACTTTTTTTTCAGTATCCCCATATATCCTCCTGCTGTACTCTATTGTGTCCAATTTATCATTATATCGTTTATTTTCTATTGTTATATTATATTTATATTATTTTAATTTTAAGAAACTGAATATTTTGGAAAACCATAATATAAATTTATATTTAATTGCTTTATGTTTTTACATGTTATTTGATGTTTGTTATTAATATTTATTAAAACTATCTTTATTAATGAAAAGATTATAATAAATTAATTAAAAGTTTTTAATATCTATAATAAATAAAAGAAATTATTTAAATAAATAAAAAATGATAACTTTATATTAATTTGTTTAATTAGAAAAACTTTAACAATATTTATAGTAAAATGTATTATAATTTATAATACATTTTATTATATAATAAAAAAACAACTAGTTCTTGAATAGTTATAAAATAGTTTAAACATCATTATACATGTCAAACTTATAATCAAAACTAAAAAAAATTATGAGTAAAATTTATATCAAAAAAGTATCGTTTTGTGATTGTATCAAGAAGGAAAGTATCCCGAAACCGCCTTCTTCAATTAGTTTTGTTACTTCAATTCATGAAGAAAAAATTCCACCCAAAGGAGATATTTATGAAACACAAAATATTGAATTTTCAGTTATTGAAAATTATTCTTTTCAAAATCTTCTTAATTTTTGTCAAGTTCATTTTGAGAAAATAAAGACCGAAGATTCGCGACTTGTTCAATTATTGATAAATAGAGTTTATGAACAACTTTCTACAACTTTGAAATTGCAAAATAGTTTTAAGCATTCTCAATATGAACAATCAGAAGTCCAACCAAAAATTAGTCCGTCTTTAAATACTTCACAATTAAAAATACAAAATTTTAACATCGAAAGTTTTAATGAAAATGAAGAATACAACACATATGAAGAGCCAAAAATAATTCCAGTGTTTCAACCGGACTATTCTGAAAGTTGTGAAGTTGACGTAATAAATACAATTTATCAAACAAAAAGGGTCGACAACAAAGATGATGACCAACAGCTTTTAAATTATGATAATCAACAGCAAAGTGGTACTGAAACCATCGAATTAACCGAATTGAAGGAACAAATTCCTCCAATCCATTATAAAGACAAAACGTTTGCTGAATGTGAACACGACGTCTACAAAACTTCACTTGATCTTTTCCATAAAAAATTGCGTCAGGTGCGTGAAACCCCAACTATAAAAAGCTTAATTGGAAATTTATTTAATTAATTTTTAACGTTCAGATTAATCATTTTTATGAGTTATTATTATTATAAAAATGAATGAATTTGTTTAATAAAAATATAAATAACAATTGATCGATGTTTCAAAAAAACTTCTAAAAAAACATTTTTAAATTACAGTAGAGTTGGTGGAAAAAAGTCCTGCTCGTTTGCAAATTATAGTAAATTATAACAG